GGGGGTGGGGGTGGAAGACGGCAGAGAGGGATACATGCTGATGGAAAATAAAATAAAATTTAAAGAATAATAAAAAAATAAAAAGCATAATTGCAATATGCCAAAAGAAAACCATGGAAACAAACTGTTTTATAAACCTCAAAGCACTGTATAAAGTAAATTATTTTTTCTTTAAATACAAAGGCACTGAGGATGGAGACCAGCCTGTCTAGAGACAAAAAGGTGGCCAGTTGAACTAGAACCAAAAAGTGAGATGAGATTGAGATGAGATGAGGAGATGAGATGAGATGAGATGAGATGAGATGAGATGAGATGAGATGAGATGAGATGAGATGAGATGAGATGAACAGGAGGGGAGAGGGCAGGTCACGCCTGGAGGTCAGAGCGAGGACCCTGACTTGACTGCATGTGCCCTGAAGAATTCAAGGGAGAAGAGTAACTTCTCCCGGGCGTGGAACGGAAAGGGGCAGGTGTGACAGGAGACTATCCTATTGGGTGGGTGCAGCAGTACCCACCCAGCAGAAGAGTGGGACTGGGCTGGATTCAAGACAGAGATGAAACGGACATTTCACTGGCACAGCAAAAGGATGTGCTTCTGGACTAGCTGTGAGGGATGAAGAAGGGAAAGGAGCTATGGGTGACATCCAGATTTCGGAATTTAATAAATGAATAAACAGTTTACTATTTTTTGAAATAAGAAAGATGGGGACAAAACAGAAGTGGTGGTAGGAGCAGAGGGACTCCATGTTGGAGCTGCAGCCCTTAAGATGCCTACGAAGTCCTCCGGTGGAAACAGCAGCTGGAGCTCGGAGGACGGGGCTGCGGGAATCAAGGTGGGAGCTGTGGGTGCACAGCTGGCGTCCAAAGGGCGGAAATGAATGAGATCTCCCGGCAAGCACGGAAGGGGGAGCAAAGCCCGGCTGAGGCGCGGAGGAAGGCCCGCGGGGGACCAGGTGGAGAGCCAGGGGAGTGTGTTAGTGCAGAAGGCGGAGAGGGGTCTCCCTGAAGGCCGGGTGTCAGTTACGGCGACTGCCCGAGAGGCCGGGAGACAAGGACAGAAGTGGTCCACGGGATCTGGCAGCGTGGAAGTCACTGGTGACAATGACAAGGCGATTTCTGCAGAGCGGTGGGCATGAGAGTGAGAGAGGACAGTAGGCTGATGACGGAACGAGAGGGGGAAGTGGAGGCAGCACGGACAGGTCTGAGCGACGCTGCTGCGAAGGCCAAGGGAAGAGCGGAGCTGCTGAGAACGGGGTGCTGCACAGGGACAGCCCCTAACAGGGGCTCAGAGCACGCTGAGCTCCCCAGAGGGTGCTCCACAGAGAGGGCCCCTAACAGTGGGTGCAGAGTGCGCTGAGCTCCCCAGAGGGTGCTCCACAGAGACAGCCCCTAACGGGGCGCAGAGCGCGCTGAGCTCCCCAGAAAATGCTCCACAGAGTCGTCACCGAACAGGAGGAGCAGAGCACGCTGAGCTCATCAGTATACTCATCAGGAGGATGTGAGGAAGAGGTGATGTCGCAGAAGACGGGGTGACTGACCACCAAAGTCCTTGAGTGTCTAGAACAGCAGTCTCCCAAAGTGAGGCAGATACACGTGGGATCTGTACGGCAGTCCATAGAGTCGAAGAGGGGAGGGAAGAGAGCAAAACTGTTTTATTATTCATCTGAAAAAGGAAAGAGATCGAGCTTTACCAAAATATGTGTGTACACACCCCGGGACACCAGCCTACACATGGGGTGCTGCGGTCACCTCGTTCCACCTCAAGGAAGCCTACTGTGCACGCCGCTTCCCACCAGCATGATCGGTAACGCTGGCATGAAACTGCTGAGGGTGGAGACACACACCGAGGAAATCAGGGAACTGAGAACGGAGGCTGTGTTCCCCCTCGGAGAACCAACTGTTAAATATTTAGTAGGAAGCCACTGCTGATGCTCAGAACTCGGTATTGATAGGAGCATTTGATCAGAAACATTTGGGAAGGAGACACAATACTTCCCATATGGGAAGAGGCTGGCAGCAAAAACAAGATGCACATTCATGGGACTGTAAATTTGCTAAGAGGCAGGAGAGTGGCACTTCCACTCTTCTGGGTGAAAACGTAAAACGAACCGCTAGCTAAGAATATGCGCTGGGCGGTAGGGCCGCTTGCCAAGTGGTTCTGGACTCCTGCCCCATCACCCAACGTAGAATTACACCTGCCAGCCCCTCATGGTGGATGAAGCACAAGGCCACTTCTGCTCAATGAGAAGTGATGGCTGTCACTTCTAGCCTGGAGCGTTTCATCGGCAGTGCCAGGCCCCCCAGAACATGTTTTCCCCTTTGGCACAGTCGCCAGCTGGTGGCTGCTTGAATTCCTCAGTTACTACTTTAGTGGGCCACGACTCTCTGCCAGTCCACAAATGATGTG